CGCGACTAATTCGTCGCTCGAAGATTGCCCTCTCGCTTCGCTCGAGGAAAATGAATAAGCGAAATGTCGTCGTCTATGTTTCTGATTGGGTAATCCTCAAATCAAGTTTATTCAGAACAAAAGAAAGAAGTTGTAGAGCAAAAGAAAATCCAGATGTTTGAGAAATTGGGGCATTAGACTACATCGCCGAAGTCACATGGGAGCAGATGCGAGGAAACATGTGAGTAACGAGTGAGATTGGATGAAGTATATGAAATTGTGAAATGAGTTGAAGGAAGGAGACATAATCTGAGTCGATACAAAGTGTTGCTGTAAAGGGTACTCTTGGAGAAGCGATGGTCGAGGAACTAGCTAACAGAAAAACTTTTCGAATAAATGTAGTAAAGAAAAATTGCCGAGCTATAAACGATGGCCGTACTGTCCTGGTCAGTTTGATCAGAATCTAGTTGTGAAAACATGGTTCCGCTCTTCAAACAGTCTTTTTTGCCATGACTTGTTTTGTGGCCACCAATACCGTAAAAGATGGTGAACTCAGGAATTTAACATGGTTTCCACTCTCACTCTTCATTTTCCCTTCACTTTTTCCTCTCGTTTCCTTGATCAGTGCAAGTGAAGCTCACTCATGTAGTCAGTCGCCGTTAACGGTGAAGGAACAATATCCCTAAAATAACATACCAGAACGACTGTTCAATCAGCATATCCTGATTTAACTTTATAGCCTGCGGTCTGTCCTTTTCATCAAAGCACGTTTCGTTTGAGCTATATTTAGAGCTGCGGTTGCGAAAGACGATCAGCCGGAAGTTCTATTAAATGTTGCCAGAGGTTTGTTGCTAGGAGAGGTGCTATTAGCCTTTAATCTTCAGAGACTCAGACTCAAAAATTTTCCAAATTCATTTATTAGTGCAATTAGTTGAAATTAGCGAAACCCAATAAATGTCTCCCCTGCAGGGAAATTTAGCTGTTAGGGATCAAATTGACTGATTTGCAACGCTGGTTTGTCGATGTAAATCTAAAATTTGCTTAACCTTGCCCTTAACAATCCTATGCCAATGACAATATTTTTGCTCAATCAAACACTTCAAAGCAATTTCGCTATTTATTTGTTTCCCATCGATATTTAGGATATTGTTTAATTTGTTATTTGATAATCGATAATTGGCAATTTGGAGGTATCCTTAAAATGTTTTCCCACGCTTTGATTCGGTGGCGCCACATAAACTATGTGCGATATGATACAGAAAAAATATTCTACGATCATTTAATCATCAGAAAAGTAAGCAAAAGGGAGACTATCCTCTTGATGTGTGAATAGAATGTTTATAAGTTTGCGAAACGCAAATATGTGTCACGAAATATCTCCCCCGCAAATTTACACAACAAATCATACTCGAACCAATGAAAATGCCTTGTCTCCGACACGTGACGCAGTCGGTTACGTTCGTCTTTGCACTAAACAATACAATTCTGAAGCCTTTATCGCGGCGAGTTGAACGAAAGCCGCATGTGAGAACCATTTCTTTTGCTAATTGAAAGGTGAAAGACACAATAAGCTATTTATTATCTGCGAAGGGCCTTGTACATCTTCGATGGCGGAACATTTGGTGTGTTATGAGCAATTTACTGACATATCCGAAGGTGTGAACCAGTAGATGGGCAACTTCTTCTCGATACTTTCGCAGACGTGTTTTCGATTTTGTTGTTTTTTGGCCGTGGACGTTTATCGTGTGGGAAATCTTGTATGGCAGCAGCAGTGTGGCTTGAAACAGAGAACAGTCTTCAACAGATTGTGTAGGTGAATATGCGGTGGGCCAGAAGCGATAACAAATTTTTTGTACAAAGTGTTTTAATTGGAATTTCTTTAATACGACATGCAACCGTCTTATAATCCGTCGAAAGAGAATCCAGTTCGAACAGTTGAATTATACCGTCGACCTGGTGGATTTGGATTTACGCTTTCCAGCCAGGGACCATGTGTACTGAGCTGTATTATAGCGGGAAGCCCTGCTCATAGAGCAGGCTTGAAGCCAGGTGATCAGATAATTGAAGTAAATGGGGCTTCCGTGGAGAGAGCACCTCATGAACAAGTTGTCAAACTTATTGCGCGATCGCCGGACGGGATGGTTCAATTGGGAGTTCGAAAGCGCGCGGAATTTCAGAGACTACGGAATGACGAGGATAGAATGAACGTCGAGAATCAACAAGAAGAAGCGATTAACGAAACGATATTGAATCGAGTGGATAAAGTTGTTGAGGAATTAAAATCAGGACAATTATTCGGGGATTCGCCTTCACTGAGTAAATCTTTATCCAACGGAAAATTCATCTCTGAAGATGAGGTTGTCAGTGACGAAGAGCTCAAAGCCTCGTTCTGCGAGAGTATAAGATCAGAAAGCTCTGTTCCTGGTTCTTCGCCTGCTCAGAGTTATGCCAGTAGTAGGAGGTCTAGCGAGGGAGATGTTGGATCCAACAGTTCTTCCTCTCCAAAGTTATCTCGGCTTCTTTATCCGAAGATGACGCCGTTGAAAGGCTATGTGGAGGCAGATATCGACCTTGAGCCGGATTTACGATCAGTTGTCGGCTATTTAGGTTCAATTGAATTGCCGGCAGCGTCTAGTCTGCCGGCCGCGAGTTTGACCGCAATTCGAAATTGCGTTCGACGTCTACGGGCCCAGCAAAAAGTTCATGTGTTCTTCTTGATGGAAATCTCTTTGATTGGAATAAAACTTTTGGACAACGAGAAGAGAACCATTGTGATGTACCCTTTGAAGTCCCTGGCATTTACTGGCCTTTGCTCAGATGATAAAAGGGTGTTTGGTATTGTAACCAGGAAAACTAATGAGCCATCCTTAGAAAAGAAGAGCAGCTGGCCTGCTTCAAATAATCACAGAATCGACATCCAAAGCACTGTGAATTGTTCTTGTCATGTCTTCTCTGTGAATCCAGAACTGAAATCTCATCAAGCTCATCAGCGCATTGCTGAAAAGTACGGTATACTATGCACCCCCCAGGATGGGGATGATGGCTGTATGGAGTTCCCTGCATCCTCCAGCCCTATCCTGAGATGTATAACTGGCATGTTTAAGGAAAGAGCAGGTTCAGAATCTGGTGGAACAAGCAGTGATGGGGAAGTTCACACAAGTTTAAGAGGACGATCTTTGTCATTGTCATCGAGTCAATCAGAGTCGGATGCGGTCTTTAGACCACAGCACCATGACGATATTCCAACAAGTGAACCTCCAACTATTGATTTTGTTGTTAATCAGGTGGTAAATGGGTTGTCAGAAGATTTTGGTTCTTTTCAAGCACAAGAATCAATAACCCAAAATGATTCTAAACCTCTGAAACGAGGAGATCACCAAGAATCTCATGAAGCTGTTACTTCACTAAATGAACAGTTTCAAACTGCTGATAGAAATGATTCTGGTGTAGGCTCGGATTGCTACCATCAGAATGACGCGGAGGCTATGAATACTGTTGCAACTTCGCAGAGCAGTAGATCAGGTAGACCTACTCCTCCTGTAGTTAGTGTTTCATCATTTCATTCCCGGGAGAGTTCTGTAGATTCTCAGATGTCTCTAGGGTCACATCACAGTTCATTGGTTGGTACCTTAGTGGAATCAGGATTTGTGACAAAATCGCAGGACTGTGCAATGGTGGGACCAGTGGGGACAAAGGATCTACCACGAAGCAATTCTCAAGAGGTTGGTAGCAGTTGTCTGTTGTGTTTTTGAGTTAAAGATTTTTTTTAAGCCAGTTTGCTCTACTTGGGAAACACCATTAATATGATCACATTTTGGTCATAATTACATGGTGCTCATATTAATGGATAAGGTTCAAATTTAATTTGAAACTATTGCTAATTTCTCTGAGGTATACAATGTAATTAAATTTATACCCTGCAAGACAGCGATTCTCTCCTCTTTCTGCTTGGTGAGAGATAGGAGGGAACCTCTGCTCACAGGTGCTCCATTTCCTATTGTGCATGCATGAATTCTGTCACATACTATATCGCATGTGCCATACTTTGTCATGCAGAAAGTCTACTGCAATCAAACTTGTATTCCAACTTTTCCACTGTTTATTTGGTAAAAATACTACAGAAATTTTTTAAAGCACTGAAGTACTTCATGACAAAGAAACAGATGAATTAAACCAAAATTGCTTCATTCAAGACTACACTGCCCAGCATGTGCTTTGCAAACTACAGGCTAGTTGCAGATAAACAAATTGTTTTGAGTACAACCATGATTATTAATGTATTCATGCCTGGTTGTGGACAGTGGCTGATCAAAGGATCAAGTGGTTTTGAGCAGAGGTTCCCACTCGTCTCTCACTAAGCAGAAAGAGAAGCAATCTCTGTCTCAAAGGGTATTGGATTTGTTGTAACTGAATGTTATTTTAAGGGTATGTTCCTTTGGGATGATCCAGGTCAGGATCAGTGATCCAAGATCATTCAGATCATGGTGTATCAAAGGAACCGATGAATACTTGCCCACAATGGATTCATCGGTTCCTTTGATACACCATGATCTGAGTGATCTTAGATCACTGATCCTGATCCAGATCATCTGAAAGGAACCCACACAAAGTCAATATCTATTTTGCTTTTATTGTCTGGGAATTTGAAGGGTCATATGAGAAGTGTAAATGTATGAGGAAAATTACTCCCAAAGATTGTTGTTTTTTGCAATAAGCGTAAGAAACTTTACTAAGATTTTGTTAGAATCTCCCAAAATGCCCACAGTTTTATGAGGACATCAAATCAACAGGGTAATCAGTGTTTGTAGTGTAGATTCCACACATTTTTTAGACCACATATTTAATATAATCATAATCTGAAGCAAAGGAAAGTAAATCAAACAAAATGTTTTTTGCTTAGACTTGATCTTAAACCCTCCCCTAGTCTTTCTATAGGAAAAAATTCCATTATCAGGAAGTCATTGTATAAGTACTAATTGAAAGATCCTTATTGGCTCATCAAAACCAGTATGAACACTTCAATTGTGTTCATGCCAGCTTGCCAACATTGTGACTGAATAGATAACTTGCCTTCCTCAGTTGTGTTAATTAAGGAAATCACAGAGTAAATATTTTTTGAGTGACAGGGCAGTATCATAGTCAGCATGTTAAATATGATGGAAATGTGAATGTCGTCAGTAATAACATTTCTGAATTACATAAAACCTAGCTCAATTAAATTTTCGTAGTTTTGGTTAGTAGTGATTCAACCACCCATTTTTCATTCATCTTTCAAGGTCAGAGTAATTCATGTAAAAAGTACCTTGCAGTTTTTATGCTACATTCTTAGAAAAATTATCCTAAGAATAGCCACTGATATTGTAACGACTGCCTTTCCATATGGAACAGGGCATGAGAACACAGTTAAATAACAAGTCATGTGTCTGACACAATTCAATCAGTTCAATAATTATTTATCACAATGTTGTAAGCACTTACAAAGCAATGTTAGAAGTTTGGTTTAACAAGATGTCCCCTAGCAATGTCTCAGGGTTCAGGACTGTCAAGGACTTTACTGAACCATACATAGTAGGGCTTCAAGTCAAGCTAAAAAACTGGGTAGCAAAGTATTTAAACAATGGTTAGCACTCTGAAATGTTTCAGTGTTACATAATGATGTGGTGTTTTGTTTGGCCACTTGTTGATTGAGCAGCTTAACTTAGCTGTAATTGGACATGCCCACATTTTTTTGTGGCAAAAGCAAGCAAAGTGTCAGGCGGTCATATTACAGTCGAACCTGTATATAATGACCCTGTATAAGGCGGCCACCCTCTATTAAGTGGCCAGTTTTCAAAGTCCTGATTTTTCACTCATACAAATGCTGTATTTGTTACCTGTATTAGGCGGCCACCTCTATTAAGCGGCACAGCCACCCTGTAGCAGTCCTGTGTTTGTCTTTCTTTGTTATATTTTCCTGTATTAAGTGGCCACCCTGAGCGTAGCAAGTATGAAATTGAATATAACATCTTTGAAATGACGGAATGAGATATTTTGTTGTGAACTGTAAGTCATAGAAAATACAGTACTCTATACTGTACAAGAGAAGAGGACAATTTATTGCACAATACTTTAACACAATGTGACGTCTATTATACCATTAAGTTACAAGTTGGCATTGAACCTTGTTTAAAGTATTGATCACTTGAAAGAGTGTTAGAAAAGTTATCCTGTGGTTATTGTTATTTATTATCCTATTGTTTCCTTGCATGAAGTGTTTTTGTAGAGATGCCCAGTAGTATTTTTAGTGATCCTGTATTAAGTGGCCAGCTCCTCTAGTCCCGAGGGTGGCTATTACTTACAGGTTCGACTGTTCCCACTTTGATGAAGATCACTTTAATGTTAGGAATGTGTGGTTATACTTGTTTAGATAGACATTTCAGTGGTATGGTTAGACATCAACAACAGACGATAGGTTACCAGAGTGCAACATACTGTAGTTAAATTTTGAATTGATTTTACTACGTTGTAGTGTGTATGTTTATCCATGTACATTGTTTGTCCAGGTATATGGTTTTTTATCAGTCATACATGTACTTTCTAGGAAAACCTGAGAAAAAGACATGATTTTTGAGAACTTTAAAAAGTGAAAATGACAATATCTTATGTCGATAATAAAATTGCAGTGTGCTAATAATATGAGGTAGTAGAGGGCATATATTTTAGCCTAGTTGCTTTTGATTCAGATTGAGAGTTATCTATTGATGCAATATATAGTACTATAAAAGGTTCCATATGCATGTGCAATCTGTCTTTTTAGAGCCTAACAATAATTTTGGACACATTCATGTCATGTATAGAGTATGGTTTCGTATGTGTAGCTTCAGGGAATTTTTCATTGACAATTTTAGAAACCAGGTTAAGCATTTTCGGTCAACCATTGCTCAACTGATTGTGGCGTGTTAGGATCCTAATGACCTTTGTTTTTTTTTCACCATGCATTGTGAGAACTGTGTAGTCAATCACAGGTAAAGCATGTTTTAGCACCCAAGTTGTTCTCACCATGTTATAAAAGAATTGGTTCATGCTTTTAGTTGTGCACATGTCAAGTTATGGATGCACTGAGGAAGTTTGGAGAGCACTCAAGAAGCTGGAGTTGCTCTCGGCTATTGCCTTGAGCAACTCTTACACTTCTTTCGTGCTATCCAAACTTCCTGCGTGCATCCATAACTCGATATATGCACGCTAAGCATGAACCAATTCTTTGAGGTAGAAAATTTGAAGACTGAAGTGTTTGAGAATGGGAAATCAAAGTGCAGTGTCTAGATAGGAAATAATGTGGTACAAGAAAAGTGGTACACGTGCCTGTAATGTTTCATGCATAAAACACAAAAATCAGCAATTTAAAAATAACAAATAAATAATACATTTAGCTATCTCTAGTTAGTAATCAGTCTTTCGGCTGTTTTTTTGTGAGGCAAGGTAATAAAAATGTTTTCAAGATCAATTTGAATAGGGGAATATTTTTGACAAAATTTGGCTGAAAGAAGATTGCTTTAGATCTATAATGGTTCAGGTATTGTGTAATGCTAAGTTATTAAATGAACGCAATAGAAAAAAATATATGACCCCATGCTGCTGCTGCTTATACTAGGGGATATGTTTGGTATACAAATTGTTATCTTATTTACACAGGACCAATGATCTTGCAATTAAATAAAATTAAACAAGTTGAAGACCAATGAGTTATAATACAGGTACATGATATTGTGCCTGTGGTGGATTTGTGAAGCTGAAAATGGAATCATATGACATCTTGTTACAGTTTGTAACAGTAAATGTTGATGCCATTCAGATTGTTTTGGTTTTCTCGTCTGTATTTAGTCTTCATTTCCCAAGGTAATAATTACTCAAGCGTTGAATTAATCACTGCATTTACTCCATGCTTAATTTACATTCCTTCAGGGCATTCTTAATGAAATTTTGCAAATGGTATTAAGTTGTCATTTAGTTTTGCTGCATGACCAAAAGGTGATCATACAATGTTCAAGGATGCACATTGTATGTGTGATCTTTCAAGAGGCTGTGAAAACCCGTTGTCTTCACAGTATTTAAATGAAGTGCTTTTGAGGTCAGTTTCATTGTTTTAGCGATTGTGTTGTGGACAATAACTTATATAAAGCCAAATATTCTGTTGTCATGCACATATTCAATAGCTGTAAACATAACATTCTTTGTGAATTCTAATTTAGCTTTTGATGAAAGTAGTGAGTTCTTGCAGTGAGGAGTACTGTAGAACTTAAATCTAGTGCTAAGATCATAAAATTAATTCTCTTCAAGACTCTGTTTAGGAGATTTTGGAGACGTTGTCTTATCATAACTATCTTTCCCTTTATGTTTAGTTTGGCACATTAGATATGTTTATTGCAATAAAGTTTAGAAAGTGCCAGTTTTCTATGTGTTTTGTGGATAAACATGTCACAGAATACATTGTCAGAATTGCCCGCCAGTTCGTTATAGGGGCATTGTATCTTATGTTTACACTCTGCTGAGTTTTTATTTTGAGTGTAAAGATTTGAATCAAAATTGCTATCAGTTGTGTTGCCAGGCTTAAATATCTGATACATGTATGTTTACTTGTAGCAATTCAGATATGAAAGATAGCTATCATGCCTTGGGGAGAATGCAATAGAATCTGATAGGACTCTAAGAGTAGCCCTGCGCAATCTAGTTATCTTCTACAATGATATACTTGTAAAGAAATTCCATACAGTTTAGTTTCTTTTATATATTAAGTAAATTGGTAGGGCATAGAGTGATAACACCATAATGATGACAATAATGCAAGAAGTGGATTCTTAGAATATCCACTAGAGGATCTAGACAAGGCAGACCAATGTAGGCACTGTTTACAAAATACATGTACTGCTATGATAAAAAACCTAGTGATTTGATCTTGGGTTTTCATGCATGAGATCATATGACTTGGAGAAGTGGATCTCAGGGACGCTTGAATGAGTTTGTGATAAAAGGAAAAAGTCTTCTATAGATGTCAAAATGACCATAATGAGTAACTTGTGTCAATTCAGTTCACACCATTAGTTGATGTGGTCTGCAAAACTTTTTATGCAGTGGAATCCTTGTTTCTCAAAGCCTTGATTTCTTTAGCTATGCAATAGCTTGAACCAAATGGGGTTTCCTTCCCCCCAGTTGAACACTAATTTTACCCCCCCCCCTGATTTCTTAAACTATTAGAAACAGTCAGAATTCCACTGTTACTTCATTACTTTTCACATGTGAACATTACCTAACAGGTGATATTGTTTGGAAGTTATCATGAAGCTTGCTCTGATCTGACTGATGGAGGTCATGTTAGTACTCCGTAAATATATAATTTTAGAAAACAGCCCTAAGAAAATATGCGCGCTGATGGGTTAAAAATCATGTTTCTCTAACTTGATGGAAACGCAGAACTTGCACGAGCTGTTGATGTAACGATGGCACGAGCAAAGAGAATTTACATTTTGATGATCAAAATAAACAAGTTGTTTCCCTTTTTTGTCACAGCGTTTTCTAAAAGAAATAGAAAACATGTTCTCTGTGTTTATATCAAGTTATAGAAATACTCGTGAAAGTTTTAAAAAAGCTGTGGAAACACTTGCCTATGGCTCATGTTCCCACAGCATTTCTCGTTCTCCCAAACTTCCACTCGTGTTTCTATATCTCAATAGAAACATGGTACATGTTTTCTATTTCTTAAATATGGTAATTTCCATTTAAATTGTAGTGATCCTGAGCTTTTATTGACTGAATTGTATTATTTTTTTGTTTCCTTCCAGTCTTTAGCTCATTCAGATATAGGTAAGTAACAAGTACTTGTTTTATTATTGACATCAATGAAATTAATTTTTGATCTCAGTAAATTTATTAACTATAAGAATAAATTGAAAAATACTTGCTAGAAAAAAACCAACCACACATAACTGAAACCACAAATTAACTACAACATTCACAAAGACTAGACTCACAGCAGTCAATTGCTATCATATTAAACTGTATAAATGTTTTTTTGAAAAAAAAAAATTGTCATTCCTTTGACAGTTTGTGAAGGCATGATCTCATTACACATTATAAACAAAATTATTATGTATTGTTTTTTTTCAGTCTTGGGAACATCCTCAAGTAAGAAGACATTAAACAATAGTGCGAGTATCAGCTCTAGTACTCAGAGTATTCACAGCTTGAGTAGCATGCCTGGTGACATGTCCCAAGTGGATGGAAGAGTTGGTCGCTGGGCACTTGGCTTTGACAAGCTCATGGAAGATCCTGCTGGGCTGGGCTGCTTTAAGGTGCATGTGCAAAAAAATTACGTTCTTTATGATTTTAAGTAGGCCTGCAGCAAGTTCATGGTTAGGTTGACTGTATTGTCCACGAGAAAACGTAGCCTCTTCCAGGCGATCAGTTAGTTGGGGTATTTGAAAAACGGCAAGCGAAAAAATAGGGGAGAAGTGTAGCGAGAGAAAGCAAAAGAACGCCTGTGGGCAAACATAACAAAAGGCCCTTCTGCCCCCTTTAGACTGCCCACAGGGGCCCGTAGAGGTCATAGGACTGCATGGCTTCCATTGTTATGACCCTGAATATCGCTTTGCAGTGTTTGACACCTCTAATTTGCCATGTGTTTCTACTTTGTTTAGGTTCATTTATGTTGCAAAATAAGTCTCTAAGGTAAAGGGTGGGCTTTCAAGGGACAAAGCTTGAAATTGTCTGTGGACATGTTGCCTACATGCATTCTATTGTCACGCCAGTCCTGGCTGTTTGATTAGAACTGTTTGCAAGTACATTATGTTGCTTTTTATCACGGATATCATAGTTAACTTTGTCTGGTTTTTCTTCAGAGACTGCCTTAGCTTTACTTTGAGAAAGCTATACTTTTGCATTGAGACGTTCTTGTGTTTCTTACATCAATTTGATTGAGCTTGTCTCTCCAACTCAGTGTTTAGGTTTATACCCCCTCTGTTCATTCTTGTACCACATGGTTCAAATGCAGCAGCTTACGTGCCAGTCTGTTGATTGTTTTGCGTGTTATATATGCCATTGTTTTGGCTTTGTTCAGATTTGAACACCGTGTCACTCGTTGAAAGGTCTCTGAGCCCCGCCATATCACATTTTGCGTAATATGCTCAAGTGTTGACAAAACCTGTCAAAACTGACCAACCAGAGGGTATACCGGAATGACCTTTTGACAGTGAAGAATGATCATCGCAGTTAATTTTCCAATTTAAGCAATTGGAAAGAAGAAGCCTGGGAAAAAAAAAATCAGGGCTTCAACGGGATT